GGACCACATATCAAGGGATTTTTCTTATCTAATCTGATCAGTTATCACCAACTTATTAGTGTATGTCGTCTAGGCCCTCCTTTAATGATGAGTATTTGTTTTATTAATACTGCTATTCGAACTATATTATGTACGTGTTAATAACGATATAAATTCAAGTTAATAAATTGTTCCAGTGGATAATTAAAATATTAAATGTAAAAATTGCAATTTTAAAATCCAAAATTCTTTTGAAGTTAATTCACCTGAGTATGTAATCCTTTCAATGTATATTACCTGAACTTATATCGACATCTTGTCTCTTCTTTCCATTTACCTTTCTCAGGTAAGGGAATGAGCACATTGCTTCAATATTATTTTTCAAAATTGTTATTTAGAAAAACATCCTTTTTTCTTCATTAGTTTTTTTGCAAGATATATATGGTGAAAGAAAAATGCCAAAAAAAAAGGGGAAGATTAGCCGTGATACTTTAATGTCATTTTACTGATATTGATATTTTTCGGTCATTTTCCATCTTCCTGTCTTTCCTGTTATCCATCCAACTTAATCACCTCCTTCTTTCCTTTTCCAACATTTCTAAAAGAATACTTCGAAACAATTTCTTACAATTTGAGCTGCCAAATTTGATTAATTTGTCTCTTCGTTGAAATGCACCTTACTCTAAGAGTTCATCGCTTAAATTACTCCATTCCAGATGATGTTCAATTTTAAAAAATTACCAACTGTTTGATCATTCTCTGCTACATTATTAAAAATTGAAAAGGAAAAAGTGCAAGAAAGTTATTTGACTGTTTTTTTTTCTGCTTATTGTTAATTTCTGTGATTGCTTACTTAATTCTTCCGATTTTTCGTATTAGTCCGGATTGTTAACAAATATGGTATAATTGATATCGTCTCTTACATCGAAAATGCTACATTCACCAAATGGTTGCGTTCGTTGCATGAAAATTTCACTGCACTTTCATCCATCATTTAATTCAGATAATTTTGATTCGCTGATTTTTTATCCGGCTGAAAACAGGTGGATTATACGATTAATTTGCCTATGAAAATGTACAGTAGTTGAAGTTGGATAAAAAAATTGAAGATGATTATGTAACAGTCTGGAAGTGTTTAGGTAGCTTAAGTCTTATCAATTAAGTTTCTTCTTGTAGTCTTCAGAAATTAACAACTTGATCATTTTTGCTCTTTTAGATCTTTTCCATCGTTGACAAGAGTGTCTACAAAAAATCGAAGCTTACATGGAACAAATCCACAATCTCGTGGTGAATCTTCACTTGAATTGGAAGCTGTTGCTGCCGTACATGAGCTATCATTTGCAGTCCAAACAATTTCAGTTTCTGAAATACTTCCTCGAACACCGGATCTTATCTTTGTTAATGTTACCACTGTTGAAGGTTACATGAAATTTATACTTTTCATATAAATGATTCTATTTCTCTTCATTCTTACATCAATGTATAATATGACTGAGTTTGCATGATATTAACCTTCAATTTATTCCATCAAACTTTCTTCTAAGATTATCTTATTCACAGTTTCTGCATTACTGTTGCCATTTTTTTAGGGCAACCATATTGCTTGGAGTTAACATTAAAAGGATGGCGTGTCACATCTCTACGACATGATTGCATGCATGGTGATTACACTCGTTTGGATCTCTTCACAGTATACTACGATACATTATACGATTTAATGGATAAACTTTCGCCAAACTACAGAAATCTTTTCAGTGAGAAATTGGCACAGAAATTACGAATGCTTCAGGTAATTTCTTCCATTTCATTAAATTCATTTTTATTGAAATAGAAATATTTACAAAGTTCAACTTTATACAAATGTTAAAAACAACTATTCAGTTATTCTAAAATGAAGCTTCTTTTTGCCTTTTTTTTTCCGATGATTCTTTCAAACCAAACTACAGTGATAATTCTATTATCTTCTCAAATACCTTTACTTTATCAAACTTTTTTTTTGCCTTTCTCTAAGCTCAATTAGCACATTATAGGCCGCTGAAGATGATGATCGCACAACTTCAGCACCATTTTCAACTGCTGCTACACAATCAAAAAATTTCACTGATAATTTGGTCACAGAGACACCAATATGCTACATGACTTCAGCAGGAAACTCACAAACAAATAATATTATCAGTCATGATGATGATGATGATGACGTTATCAGTCATGATAATGATGATGTTATCAGTGAAAAAGATGATAATTCATAAGTTCATTATAATTTTCAATTCTAATACATTGCACTTAGTTGTGATGTCTGATGATGTAGTCCCATTTCATCGTTCTTTTGTTTTCATTTTTGAAATTCTTCCTTGTATTTTTAGCTGAGCTTCATATCTCATATACAGTTGCTTAACATACAGTTGTTTTTTTCTTTTTTTTTTAACTTTAGATCCTATGAAAATATCTTACTTTTTAAGACTTGTATTTTTGTACGGGCCTATCCATACCAGTACCAAATACGGGCCTTCCTCCGTTTTTCCATCTTTTCTACTTGTTATATTGTACATTGTGGGAAATTTTGTTGCTTTTTCTCATCTTTTTTCTTTTTTTTTATTGGAATATATTATCCGAATTATTTTGGCTAAATATAGTTTTCAAAATGATTTCTGATGATAGAGATCAGAATAATAGCGCAGATTCGTATGCTCTACAAGGATCATGATGAAATGATAGATTTACTTATTAGCTATATCCAGTAAAAATGATTTACTTATTTACTCTCTGATCTTTGATATGCTGTCAAAGTTCATGTCATCGTAGAATTAGGATTAAAATTCATATTATTATTTCACTGGTATAGTTCCAACTCTCCCTTATTCTCATTTTCATTTATTTCACTCTCTATTGTTTCTCTTTGCTTTTGTCGCCATTTATGGTAAAATAAAGAAGGAGAATGTCGCAAAATAAAGTAGTGAACTTTAATGATTGTTGTCTTTTGCTGTGTTAAATACATTCAGTGACCGGGAAAATATGCGGACAAACATCTTCGATACTGTCAGTTGATATCTTGGGAATAGCTAGGATGGGTGACAGTGTTGCTAATTACATTATTGAACTGATAGCCTTTTACGTAGGAAGGGAATCACGAGAGCAATGGATTTCTTTGGACAGCCACGATGGATGGTATCAGAGGATGATGAGTCGTCGGGTGAGTCACTTAACAAGACATTTCCTACAGTTCGATTACAACGCATCACAGATGAATGAGTGCATGACGGGAGAAAAAAAAAGATATCCTGCAGAGTAATTGAGGGTTACGACTA